TCCTGAGCACTCCTAGCCACTTCGAAAACGGGGATCACAGCAGGCCTCGAAAGTGGCGACAGGTTCACAGATCGCAGCCCCCCAGGGATGGCGAGGTCTCGTTTGAATCTGCCCGTGGCGTCACTGTGCTGGGCCCCCCAGCAGGCCTCGAAAGTGGCGACAGTTTCACAGATCGCACCCCCCCAGGGATGGCGAGGTCTCATTTGAATATGCCCGTGGCCCTCACTGTGCTGGGCCCTCCAGCAGGCCTCGAAAATGGCGACAGTTTCACAGATCGCTCCCCCCCAGGGATGGCGAGGTCTGATTTGAATCTGCCCGTGGCGTCACTGTGCTGGGCCCCCCAGCAGGCCTCGAAAATGGCGACAGTTTCGCAGATCGCAGCCCCCCAAGGGATGGCGAGGTCTCATTTGAATCTGCCCGTGGCCCTCACTGTGCTGGCCCCCCCAGCAGGCCTCGGAAATGCGTGGCAGTTTCACAGATCGCAGCCCCCCAGGGATGGCGAGGTCTAATTTGAATCCGCGCGTGGCCCTCACTGTGCTGGGCCCCCCAGCAGGCCTCGAAAATGGCGACAGTTTCGCAGATCGCAGCCCCCCAGGGATGGCGAGGTCTAATTTGAATCCGCGCGTGGCCCTCACTGTGCTGGGCCCCCCAGCAGGCCTCGAAAATGGCGACAGTTTCGCAGATCGCAGCCCCCCAGGGATGGCGAGGTCTAATTTGAATCCGCGCGTGGCCCTCACTGTGCTGGGCCCCCCAGCAGGCCTCGAAAATGGCGACAGTTTCGCAGATCGCAGCCCCCCAGGGATGGCGAGGTCTAATTTGAATCCGCGCGTGGCCCTCACTGTGCTGGGCCCCCCAGCAGGCCTCGAAAATGGCGACAGTTTCGCAGATCGCAGCCCCCCAGGGATGGCGAGGTCTAATTTGAATCCGCGCGTGGCCCTCACTGTGCTGGGCCCCCCAGCAGGCCTCGAAAATGGCGACAGTTTCGCAGATCGCAGCCCCCCAGGGATGGCGAGGTCTAATTTGAATCCGCCCGTGGCCCTCACTGTGCTGGCCCCCCAGCAGGGCTCGAAAATGGCGACAGTTTCACAGATCGCAGCCCCCCAGGGATGGCGAGGTCTAATTTGGATCCGCCCGTGGCCCTCACTGTGCTGGGCCCCCCAGCAGGCCTCGAAAATTGCGACAGTTTCACAGATCGCAGCCCCCCGCGGGCAAGACAGGAGGAGGCAGGCAGGAGGCAGGAGGGAGGCGGGAGGAGACGCGACCACACTGCTCTATTCAAAACGAATACCCAACCAAGGAGGGTTGGGAAAAATCATGAGTGTTCGACAATCCCTTGGGGAAAAACGGAACGAAGTGCACACGCGCGCGGCGTCGCGCGCGCATGCCGAACTCTTCCGAAAACCTTCGGCACCAGAAGGATTTCACAGTCGAGTTCCCACACCAACATACAAAACCACAGGGTTTCGCAGCACATATTTTCACCAAAACAACAAACAAAAAAGCTTACGCGAGCGCTCTTGCTAAACATTTACCTGCTTCCAGCAAAAAACCTATAGGTTGCCCCGTTTTGTTTATGACCAAACGGGCTTCGCGCGCGCACATGTCGAAATCTTTGGAACGCCCTTTGCAAAAAAGGGACGAAGTGCAGACGCGCGCGTCGTCGCGCGCGCATGCCGAAATCCTCTGAACATCTTCGGTTTCGGAAGGATTTCAAACTGGTGTCCGAAAGCCATACAAAAACACAAGCTTTCGCAACACGGATTTCCAGCAAAAGCGTGCGCGCGCGCTCTTGCGTCGTCGTCGTCGTCGCCGTCCTCCCTCCTCCCTCGTCGTCGTCGTCGTCGCAGTCGTCGTCCTCTGTCTGTCCTCGTCGTCGTTCTCTTTGGCGTCGTGGTCGTTTCGTCGTCTGTCGTCGGCGTCTCGTTGTCGTCCCTCCTATTCCGTCGCCGTCGTCGTCGTCGTCGTCTCCCCTCCGCCCTCGTCGTTGTCGTCGTCAGCGTCGCCGTCCTCCCTCCTTCTTCGTCGTTTGCGCCGTCGCCGTCCACCCTCCTCCCTCGTCGTTGTCGTCGTTGTCGCCGTCGTCGTCCTTCCCCATCGTCGTCGTCGTCGTCGTCGCCACCATCGTCGTCGTCGTCGCCAGCGTCGTCGCCGTCGTCATCGTCGACGTCGGCGTCGTCGTCGTCGCCACCATCGTCGTCGTCGTCGCCAGCGTCGTCGCCGTCGTCATCGTCGTCGTCGGCGTCGTCGTCGTCGGCGTCATCGTCCTCGTCGTCGGCGTCGGCGTCGTCGTCGTGGTCGGTGTCGTCTTCGTCGTCGTCGTCGTCGTCGTTGTCGGCGTCGTCGTCGTCGTCGAAGTCGTCGGAGGCGTCGTCGGTGTCGCCGTAGTCGTCGTCGTCGGCGGCGTCGTCGTCGTCGTCGACGTCCGTGTCGTCGCCGGCGTCGTTGCCGAGTGAAATTTGGTACCTGCCGTCACGGTCTTAAGGGGTTTTGCAAACCAAGCTGCGGGTGGGAGGGTGGGATGTTTGCAAGAGCATGAGATGTGTCAAACCATGGGTAAAAATGAATTGTACCACCTAGGTTCTCCTTTCAAAGAAAAGGGGTTCTACCACCCTCCCCCTCACGGGCTTATCGACTCCCCGGGAACCGATGCAAAACACATCAGATTCTGACCCAAAGTGAATCCTACCTGTGAACTCGTACTATCCCAGCCAAGCCGGTATCGGTCCCCCTCGGCCTCTTTGCAACAGAAAGCACTTTACGGTGACACTTGTTTTTTGAACAAAACACTTGTTTCGCGATTCCCTTTTTTTGCAATGCGGGGTACACGCGCGCGGCCGCTGCGCGCGCACGTCGAAATCCGTCCAAACACCGTGTTTTCAACATTTTCAACACCCCGCCCCAACAGAAACCAAGGAAAATATACGACGTCCGCACCCAAAATTTATGAAAACCTGCCCGCGCGTTTTTGTCGAATCCGCCATACACCAATGATGTTGCAACTTTCCTGTCACATCGGGCTTCTTGGGCAACTTTTGCGCGCACGTCGATCTCATTCAACAACGGTCGCGCGCCTGCCGGGACCACAATGCCTTGTAACATGATACTACGCGGGGTACATGCGCGCGGCCGCCGCGCGCGCAGGTCGAAATCCGTTCATACACATTGCGGTTTCAACCATATCAAGACCGAGCGAACTTCATGGCATCACACGAATCACACCGTACCCTCTCAAACAAACCTGGAATAAAAATTAAAATTGTACCCGCGCGCTTTTCAAACACTACAACCAAAAGGGCTTTCCATCTGCCACGCGTGCAACTTATGCGCCGTCACTGGCTGCCCCGTCGTCGCTGCCAGCAACGTCACCAGCATCGCTACTTGTACCATCGTATCTACCGTTGTCGGCGTTGCCATGATACCGCGCCCGCCCAAGCCGCCGACTCGCACAGAAATGTCCTCTGGGATGTGCCGAGTGGTCAGCGCCACCGCTTTCGCGTCGGTCGCGCCAAATTAGCTGGCCGCTGCGCGAGCGATCATGTGCAGGCTGGCGCGGCCGCATACATGCATCAGCCAGCACCCAGCACTCATCGCAATCGCTCCCGCATGGGTTTTGCAAACCAAGTTGCGGGTAAGTGGGTGGGGTGGTTGCGAAAGCGGTGGAATTGACAACTGCGAGTTCGGCAAAAAGGAATAGGTTGTACCACCATCCCCCGCACGGACTTACCGACTCCCATGGGGACGATGCAAAACATTCACGATTCTGACACAGTGTCCATCCTACCTGTGAACTCATACTACCCCAGTCAGGCCGACATCGGTCCCCCCCTCGGTTCCCTTGCAACAAATTATATACGGTGCTATTGTTTGCTATTCCATAACACTTGTTGACGAATCCGTTTGGGAAAAAAACCAGGCGGGGCACACGCGCGCGGCCGCTGCGCGCGCACGTCGAACCCCCTCCAAACACAATGTTTTCAGCAATGTCAACATCCCGCTCCAAGAACACCTATGCAGCATACGATGTTCTCACCCCCGGGAAAAATTGCCCGCGCGCCCGTGCCGAATCCTTCAAACACCAAGGGTTGTTGAACATTCCTATCAGATCGGGTTTCTTGGGCAACTTTTGCTCGCACTCGATCTCATTCAGCAACGGTCGCGCGCCTGCCAGGGCCACAATCCCCGGTGAAAAATACCATGCGGGGCACATGCGCGCGGCCGCCGCGCGAGCAGGTCGAAACCCTTTCCAACACACATTGCGGGTTCAGCAATTTCACGACCGAGCTTTATGAAAGCACGAATCGTACCATGCATCCTGAAAACATCACTTTCTCAGCGGAACAGCTTATAAGTTCAGTTTATCGCGCGGTTCGCTGAGTCGTGGGAGTCGTCGTCCTCGTCGTCGTCGTCGTCAACGTCGTCGTCGGCGTCGTCGTCCTCGTCGTCGGCGTCGTCGTGGTCGTCGTCGGCGTCGTCGTCGGCGGCGTCGTCATCGTCGTCGTCGGCGTCGGCGTCATCGTCGTCGGTGTCGTCGTCGTCGTCGCCGTCGACGAAGTCGTGGGAATCGTCGTCGGATTCGTCGTAATCGTCGTCGGCGTCGTCGTCGTCGGTGTCGTCGTCGTCGTCGACGAAGTCATCGGAGTCGTCGTCGGTGTCGTCGTAGTCGTCGGCGTCGTCGTCGTTGTCGCTGTCGTCGTCGGTGTCGTTGCCAAGTGCCATTTAGTACCTACCGTCACGGTCTTAAGAGGTCTTGCGACCAAGTTGCGGGTGGGAGGGTGGGATGTTTGCACGAGCAGTGGAGAGGACGGTTTCGAGACAGTCAAAGTGCAATTCGCCAGCTTCTGATGCCGCCGACTGCGGCGTCAGCGCCAAGCAGGAACCACGAACCAGGTGGGGACAACATTTGGAGGCGCGAGGCTCCCATGAGACGCAGCCGAAAAATTGCCTGCACATCCATCCATTCCTTCCTGGGTAAATTCCCGCTTCGTTCTTCAATATCCATCCTGCATGCGTGCCGCGTTGAGCAGCGGGTTCATCAGGCGGACCATGCCGTCTTTACAGGCGAACGCCTTCAGGCCCTCGAACACTGACACGCCGTAGTGAAGCGCTCCGCTGTTGATGTGGAGCAGGATATAGGGCGCTGGAACGAACGCGCCCTTGTCCCAACGACCGTTTTGCCATGTGTACTTGATGTGCCCGTTCACCTCGGGCGCGACCAAACCGACGGACCCCAGAAGCATCCGAAAATCTCAAAGTCCCCGGATGTCTCCAGAAGTCTCCAAGATGCCACTGCAAGCTTCTGGAATCCCAGAGAAATTCGAACCCCAAGAACCGATACCCGTCGGTCAGAAGAAATGAGTAAAATCGGACACAGGACAGAAAAACATCCTTAAAGAACATGAGACCCTCCGCTGGTCGAAGGGAAGAGCATTCAACGGTACAACCTCCAGGATGCAAAAGAACACCTAAGAAACACGAAAAACATTAGGGCACCCTCCCCGAACCGACCTCGATCGTATACCCCGGTCCGACTGTAGAAACATGAAGTAGGAAGGCGGGAGTGCGTCCGAATAGCCCCCTGAAGTGTATCCCCGAGTTTCCCTCCTTTTCTGAGCTGCTTCATTTTCGTTGAACAATAGGGGGGCGGGCTGCAGGACATAACGCGCAACAGAAGAAGTGGCGACCCGAATCCACGACTAGGTGTGTTGTGTTCGACTGGCCCAGATTGTCTGGATCCCGACTGGGGGGTATACGATGAGGGCTGCCCATCCTCGATATGGGTGCCTCCAAATAGACTGCCCAAGGGTGTATCGCCGAGGTTCCCCTCGTCGTTTCTGAACGGCCTCACTTCAGGGAGAACTTGGGGATTGCGGGTGAGAAATCGCATGCGAGGACCCGTTTCCAATAGACTTCGGGTACCAAAAAACCATGCGGTGGCAGACCGCGCTGTGACCGCGGCATCCCCATCGACCTCACCGCACGGTCCGCCACCCACACGGTCCGCCACACACCGTTTTGGGGGGCTTCCGAACTACGGGCAGACGGCCGGACTGGGGCCCGCGGAAGAAGCGCGGCATAAGGGGGTCGTCGACCTGCCGGGGGGGGGGGGGGCGCAGGGGGGCCCTCGCTGAACCTCTGGGGCCTCGGGGGACACGCGACACGCGGACGGCCGCGTCGCGCTTAGAAACTGCCAGAGCACCGAGCGGGGAGAGGGGTGATGGGGGGGGGGAGGGGGGGGGGGGGCGAGGAGGAGGACGCCACAGGGCGCCCTCGCGAGTCCTCCGGAGACCTCGGGAAATCCGGGGAGCCTCCGGAGGCCTCCGCGGAATCCTCTGGGGGGAGGACAAGGACGAGGACGACGGCGACGTGTGCGTGGGGGTTGGCGACCGTCCGGAGTCCCCAGTTCACCGGGCGAATCGTGAAGCCCAAATTGTCCCACTTGTCTGCGAGGTCCTCGACGGTTGTCTTCCGGATGCCGGGGGTCAGGTAGGAGTAGACCTGCGGCGCGGGTTAGTCATAGCCGGAAGGACACAGAAGGAGAAGCAAGGAGAGTGGCCCTCCCTACAGCAGGCTCGTGTCGCGACGACCCGTGCGTTGGTTTCTAACATCGCGTGGCTCGTTCACGTTTGAAAGACCGCGGATTCCCGATGGCGCGGATTGTTTGATATCGGCCGATTCTGGGCCGCCGCCGGTGTTCAACCTTGCGACAATGCGGCGCGATCCTGCATGCTGAAGGGAGGTGCGGACAAGAGCGGACAAGAAGAGTAGCCCTCCCCTGCACTGGTGCATGGGCACACCCAGTGACTGCGCAGCGGTCCAGTGAAAGGGGGAAGAGGAGGAAGAGGCCGGCCGGGCGAGGAGGGCAACTCGAGCAGGAGATCGACATGAATATCCGAACACTGAAATATTCGTCGGATCTACGATTAGACACGTAGAACGCTCATTGATCTGCGGACGACCTGCGCATTTGTTTCATAAATTTGGCGAACCCTTTCAACACATTAATCGTTCCTGTTATCGATATCCCACTCGGGCTATGGAGGACAGCTCAGAACGCAATTGAGGCCAGCTCAGAACAGGGGGGGGTGCAAAAGGAGCGGAGAAAAGAAGGAGGGGAACTACGCCTGCGACCATGACCCGCCTTGAGCACTCCGCACGTAGGTGACGGGTTGGGGCCAAAGCGCCAACGACAGCTTGAAACGGCTCGCAAAACAGGTTCCCCAGCTAGGTCCGATCACGTCGGCGCGGTGACCCACGCCAGATCCAGAAGGCGCAAGCTGCAGCGCGCCGAAAAGGGGCGCGGCCCCGCGCGCCAGCGAAGGCTTCTCCACGGCGGCATTTGTGGCAACAACACCACATTGGCACCAGTGCGACCGAGAGGCCCAGCGCAAAGCGAAAGGCGGCGCGCGCGCCCTGGCTGGCGATGAAGGACCACGCGCTTCGACCGCTCCACCGCCGCGACCACAGACCCAACACCCAACCAATCCACGAGAGAGCGCGATCTCCGGCTCGTCGCCCCGCATGCCTACGCATGGCCCGCCCCGCCCGTCATCCTTTTCCGCCTCGTCGCCCTCCCTCCACCCGACTCCCCTCTTGTTATTCCTTCTCCCCTTCCCTCCTGCTCTCCTTCCCGTTCCCCTGGCCTCGCCGCGCTCGCCCCCGCCGCGCGCACCCTCCCGTTCCTCTCCGTCCATCGCGCCTCCTTCTTTCCTCCCCCTCGTCGCAACTCCTGATCATCCCCCCTCCTTCCCTCCGCCGCCCCCTCCACCTCCGCCTCCGCCCCCTCCTTCTGCCCCCTCCTCCTCGTCCTCCTCTTCCTGCCCCCCGCGCCCCCTCCGCCGCACCTCCCCGCCCCCCTCCTCATCGCCCCGCCCCCCTTTCCCAGCCTTGGCCCCGTCGCGCCCCCAGCTCCGCCGGGAGACTCTGAAGCCCTCCCCCGGCCCCGGGAAGCCCGGGCTTCCGCCGGGCGGCGGGGGCCGCACGGCGGGGCTCCGGGACAAGCTGTTTACCCCAAGTTCGAGGAATAGGTTGGTTCAGGTTCTCCCCCGTGGACTCTCCGCAGGAATCCAGGACTAGCGCTTCTTGTTTGGCTAGTTTGTTTATGGCTTTATGTCTTCATATAGGTTTTGTCAGCAATGACGTTTCTCAAGTCCTTGCGGGCAGTCGGAAATAGCTTTTTGAAGAGCCGCACCCCGTGGAGTCCCAGCCGCGACGCCAGACGGACGAGTCTCCCGGCCGCCAGGCCTCCGGCCGCCCCAACGCCTTTCAGCCCGCCCCTTCCTATTCCCACGCCTTTCAGCCCGCCCCTCCTGGCTCATCTCGTGGCCTCCCTGGGATAGTCTCCCCGAGGAAGGGAGGCCACGACCGTGGCCATGACCCATCGCCTATGGCATCGTCCCAGCACCTCCACCCCGTCCCTGCCTGCACCCCCTCTTCCCAGGCGGCACCCAGAGGGGACCTCCTCCTCAGGCTTGATGGTCGGCAGAGGCGCCCTCATCCCGGGCAGCTCCACGTGGGTGCCTCGGGAAAAGCCACGAAACAACAGCGACGCTGGGGGAGAGAGCGGCTCGCACCACGGCCCTCAAGGAGGGGGAGGAGAAGGAGGAGGAGGAGGAGGAGGCGCCCTTGCACTCTGTCACATCGCATATTATTGACTTGCACCTGATTATCTCTGGGACTTCCTTACGTCAGAGTCGTGCTGCAAGACGCTGCGAGCTCCGCTGAAAGTTGGCCGAACATGAAAAAGGAGGCGCCCTTTCCGCTGGCTCCTAGGCGGCCAGACCTGTCCGGGGCTCGCTCGGGCGAACATCTCCAGCCGTCGGCCGAGGGGGCTGCCAGCTCCGCCGGGCTCCCTGGCCCCGGGAGCTCGGGGCCTCTCCGAGAGCGCGGGCTGCTCTGGCGGGGGTTGCGCGGGGAGGCAGGCAGGGCGGCGAGCCCTGAGTGTGGAGGGGGATGCTGAAGGGGGAGGAGCAGGAGGAGGAGGAGGAGGAGGAGGAGGAGGAGGAGGAGGAGGAGGAGGAGGAGGAGGAGGGGGAGGAGGAGGAGGAGGGAGGAGGAGGACGAGGCAGCCAGCTCGGGGAAGGGAGCCCCCTATGACGGGCAACAGCCCCGCTGTGCCGGCGCGTGGCGCCGTATGGCGGAGCGCCCGTCAGCACGAGGCGGCTGTCCGAGAGGAGGCGCCCACTCGGGGCTGTCGGAAGGCGTGGCGCGCCCCCGCGCTTCCCATGGCACTCGGGATGCCCTCGAGCCTCGCACCACAACGCCTCCCGAACCAAATCCGCTCACGATCGGTCCCCAGACGCCTCCCCGGGCCTAGCCTGCCCAATGTGCTCACCATCGGTCCCCGGACGCCTCCCCGGATCTAGCCTGCCCAGTGTTGCCCCTGGGCTGTCGGGAGGGGTGGCGCCCCCCGGCGATTCGCATGGCACTCGGAATGCCCTCGCGCCTCGCACCACAACGCCTCCCGACCAAAGTCCGCTCATGATCGGCCCCCGGACGCCTCCCCGGGTCTGGCCTGCCCAATGTGCTCCCCCCCGGCCCGACTCCCGACGACCCCCGGGCCTGAAACGGGCCCACGGGCCTCGGCACGACCCTCGAGCGTCGGGCGTTGGTGCCCTCTCCCTGCCTCCCTCCCCCCCCTGGTGCCCAGCGGCTGAAGGGAACGAACTGGATCCTCCAACCTCGACCCCTGGACCTCGGACCTCTCCCCCACTCCTCCCTCGCCCTGCCCTCCTCCTCTTGAATTAAATGAAAAGTATCCCTCCCCCCTCCTCCTGCTCCACCCCCTCCCTCCCCTCTCCTCGTCAGCCTCCTTAACCCTCGGCCCTAAGGGACGAAGGCCCTCTCCGCTGCTTCAAGGGAAGAGGAGGAAGGAGAAGGAGAAAGGAGAACGAGGAGGAGGAGGAGGACGAGGACGAGGAGGATGAATGGGAGGACCCTCGACGCTCGAGGAAGAGGCCCCCTCCTCGATCACCTTGGACGACAGGAAGGGGTACGAAAAATTATCCTGGCGAAAGACCCAACCATCTGCAGTTGTGAGTAACGCAATTGTTGGCATCGTCTTCGGTGGAGCTCCCCATGGGGACTGACATGTGTGAGGGTTTTGCCGAAATGGGTGCGGCGGTGCCATGCGAGCGCTGCCACTGGGGCCTTCGGTGGAGATCCCTATGGGGCCACGAAACGTGTGAGGGGTGTGCCGAAGTGGGTGCAGTGGTGCCATGCGAGCGCAGCCACTGGGGCCTTAGGTGAATCTCCCTATGGGTCCACAAAACGTTCGAGGGGTGTGCCGAAATGGGTGTGGCGGTGTTATGCGAGCGCAGCCACTGGTGCCTTCGATGGAGCTCTCTAAGGGGCCACGAAACGTGTGAGGGATGTGCCGGAATAGAAACATGCGGAGGGCACAGGCAAAGAGGGGGCAGCGGGAGGAGGAGGAGGAGGAGGAGGAGGAGGAGGAGGAGGAAGAGGAGGAGTGGGAACGCGGGTCGCTGTCTCTTCAAAACGAGGACCCAACGCTACAGGATGGTTGGGGAAAAATGGGCACGATGCCTAACCACAAATGTTGCCCCAAACCTGCAGCGGCCGCTGCTGCGCAGGCGGCCTTCTGTCTCGAATGGACAGCGCCCGCGGCGGCGCAGACAGCGAGCCCTGTCCAAAAGGAACAGGAACTGCCCTGTGGGCAATCGTGCCCCTTCGCTCATCGATCGTCCCGAACCTCGCGGAGGAGGCCCCCGAGGAGGAGGAGGCCCCCCGAGGAGGAGGAGGCCCCCGAGGAGGAGGCCCCCGAGGAGCAGGCCTCCGAGGACCCCCCGGGGAGGAGGCCCTCCGCTTCGCCGCACCCCGGGCGCCCAGCGGCTGGAACGACGCCGCGGACGAGCCGCGCCGCCTGCCCGCGCCGTCCGAGAAGCCCCGGGCGGCCGAGGGCGCGCCCAGCGCGCCCCGCCTGGGCGACGAGCCCGCTCCCGGCCATCGCTCGGACGTCCGTCCCCCGGGCATTCCGCTCGGCTCCCGTGCGCTCACATCGGGGGCGCGCAGGCATGGGTTGGCGATCCCTGGACGTGGCGCGCGGTCGCCAAATCCATGGATCGGGGGAGGTGCCCTCCCCAGAAATGCGGCTGGCGCCGCCTCGCTCGGCGGCGGAAATCCGCGGTTCCCCATGGAAACGGGACCCGTCGCTAATCCACGCCCCCTTGATCCATGTTTGCGATCGCCTGATTACAATCAAACCGTATCATAAGGATACGCGGTAAGGATCCAAGGGCCTCGGAGGCCCATGTGGACAAAGTCGCCAAGAATGGGCCGGAGGGGCAAGGATGCACGGGTACCCTTGGGAAGGTTGCCCGTCCTTACTATGCGGGTTGACTGTACTTTTTCACACGATGATCCCAGCGGAATTCCTGGATCTGCGCTGGACTCCCCTCGCTGGCGCGCGGAGCGCGCCAGGTGCGCGCCAAAGGCGCCGCCGGGAGGGCCCAGCGCGGATCCGAGAAATCCGCGCGGCGCACCACAAGTCTATGTTTATGGCGCTCTTTCTTCTTCGATACTTTTCGCACGATGATCCCAGATGCCCCTCTTAGTGGCCCTCGCCGAGCAGGAAAGCACACGTCCGAGCGATGCCAAGGCTCTTCGGGCGACGACGACGACGCCGCCGACGACCGACGCCCAGCGCTCAGTGCCCGGCGCCTGAGACACCGACGCCGGCCGGCGTGGCGCGAAGGGCGACGACGCCGAACGCCCACGTCGACGACGGGCGCCGCCGCCGCACGGCCGTCGGGGGCGCGCAGACATGGACCGGGGGCGGCCAAGAGGCGGGCGTCCAAGAGGGGGGGGGGCGCAAATCATGGCCAGGGGCATGTGCGCGGCCCAGGGGGGGGCCAGGGACGTGGTGAATCAAGAAGAGGCGCCATGCAATCTGGGGAGATATCATGGCCCCCGCCATGATATCCACACACACACACCCCTAGTCATCACCCCCCTCATTGTCATTACCGCCCTCGACCATGGATCTGGGGAGGTGCCCTCCCCAAAAATGCGGCCGGTGCCGCCTCGCTCGGCAGCGGAAATCCGCGGTTTCCCATGCCAGTCGCAAATCGACGCCCCATTGAACCATGTTTGCGATCGCCTGATTACAATCAAGCCGTGTCATCAAGGATACGCGGTAAGAATCCAAGGGCCCACGCTGGCGTCTGAACGTCCACGCCGGCGTCTGACGCCGTCGCCTTCGCTGCCGCCGGCGACGCCGCCCACGACGCCGACGACGCATTTCGGAGCCCTTCGGAAGACCTCTGCGGGCCTCCATGGGCAACCGCGGAGGCCTCCAGAGATCCCCCGCGAGCCGCCGACCTCGACGACGACGACGTCGTCGTCGTCGACGTCCTTAGTGTGGTCGTCGGCACCATCGTCGGACGTCGTCGCCGTCGCCGTCGCCGCCGTCGTCCTCGTCGCTCCTGTTGTCCTCGTCGCTCCAGTCGTCGTCGTCGTCCTCGACCTCGTCGTCGTCCTCGCCCTCGTCCTCGTCGCTCCTGTCGTCGTAGTCGCTCCTGTCGTCGCCGTCGTCGCCGTCGCCGCCGCCGTCGGCGTCGCCGTCGCCGTCACCGCCGTCGGCGTCGGTTCGGCGATTTCTGCTGGTCGGCAAGGCTGGGCACGGCTCCGAACTGGCGGGGCTGGGCCCATGGCGAGCTCCGGGGGCCGAGGATCTGAAGCGGACGTTCGTGGGATGACGGCGGCCACGACAGCATTGAAAGAGGGAAGGAGAGAGAGAGGAGGGGGTAGGAGGACCGAGGCAGGAGACGGAGGATGCGGGGAGGGGATAGAGGGCGAGGGGGAGGGAAGGGACGAGGGGAGGAGGCGTGCGGAAATGAAGAGGAGGCAGAGGTAGAAGAAACGAGGGTAGAAGGGGGAAGCGTTCGTAGCAGCAGCGCGCGGCAATGCCTCCGGGGGGGGCCGCCGTTGGACTCAAACGACGTCGCCATCAGTGAGCCTGGGACCCGATCGAAAGCTGGCAACCAGTTCGGGCTCCAGGACAGGCCTGGCGGAGGCTTGCGAGGCATGCTTGCCGACCTGGGTCCTCGAGGACAGGGGGCTCGGCCAGGCTGGTGGCAGCATGTGCCTTTGGTATGTGGTTGTTGGGGCAGCCCGTGACGGAGTCGCACATGCGGCCACGGCACTGATGGATAGGCCCCAGGTGGCTGGAGTGATCGTTCCATCAACGCCACACATCGGGCACGCGTAGTGACGGCACGAGTTGCAGCTGAGCTGCCGCTAGTCCCACCGAATGGAAGAAGACTGCATCGGCAATCGAGTCCCACGAGAAGTCATAAACCCATCGACCGCCCCATTGGAATCGAGCTCACCATCGCTGTCCAGCACCGTTCCGCGTGGCAACGGCCAGTCCCGCCCAAAGGTCTGGGAGGGACCCGACGACTAGACCAAGTCGCCCTGTCGGCCAAGGAGATCGGTATATAGCCGCCACACGGAAGCGTCTATACGCCGAACTCCCTCGCTGACTTCCTTGTCTACTTAGCCGACCGAATGAGGTGTTTTGTACATCAAGCCCCTCCGATGGCCACCACGCCCAGCCGAGCGAGCGAGGGCTGCCACGACCAGGCTGTCGCTGGCAAGCTCCGCTGGTCGCAATCCGTCCCATCTGGCTGGCCTGACCACGACGAGTTCAGAGAAGAGTGAACTGGACTCGCTGGTGTCGGGGGGATGAGGGGGGCAGGCGAGCACAGAAGAAAAGGCGCTATAAACATACACTTTTGACGCTCCGCGCGGATTTCTCGTTTTCCCCTCCCTGGCGCGCGGAGCGCGCGCCGCCAGAGGGCCCCAGCGCAGACCCAAGAAATCCGCGCGGAGCGCCAAGAGTAGGAGCTGGTCGTGCTCCCGGCCCAGCCCGGGAAGGAGGGAGGGAGGGAGGGAACGAACAGGAGAGGGAAGGGAAGGAGGAGAAGGAGGAGAAGGAGGAGGAGCGGGCGCGGGCGGAGACGGGCCCGAGGACGCGGCGGAGTCCGCGGGCACGTGCGCTGGGCTGGGCAGGCGACGTGCCCTGCGTCGCCACGGATGCAGCGACAGCTGCTGCCACGGCTTGCTCGCTTCTCCGGGCAGCCTGGGGTCCTGAGCCCCCTCGTTCCAGCCTCTGTCCATCCGGTTCGACCCTGGCGCCATCTGAGGGTGCCGAGAGCGGGGCAGTCGCTCCGACGTCAGCGATCGTCCTGATGAGCACCTGGGCAGACCTCAGGGTTCGCCACTATCGGAGCACACCTGGGCAAGGAGTCGCCAGCTCGCGGGGATCGAAAATCATCGCTGCTTTGGCAAGCCGTGCGATGTTAGCAGTGGGCGTCGGCCAGGTAGCTTTCGACTTTGAGTCGGGCGTGTGCCCCTACATGGGGATGTTGGACGGAAAAGAAAACAACGAATATCCGAACACTGTACAACTAACAAACAAAAATTGTCCCCGGACTACTGTTTGACTATGTTTGAAAATTCCTCCTCTAGAGGGACGTGCCCGACTTAGCCAAAATTCTGTGGTCGGGCCGCACGGCAGGTCTCCGTGGGAGACAAGCCACGCGGCGGCACGGCACGCCTCGAAGTCGGCGGGCAGTCAGGCGCGCGGCGCCTGGATTCCAGAGCTGAAGGCGGGGCGCTTTGCAGCCAATGAGGTCGGACCCCAAGTCTGCTAGGACACCATCATCACCATCACCACCCTCATCCTCATCCTCATCCTCACTCTCATCCTCCTTTTCCTCCTCCTTTTCCTCCTCCTCCTCATCATATTTAGCAGCATCATCAGCATCATCGTCAGCATCATCAGTATCATCATCATCGTTATCATCTTCATCGTCGGTTTCATCGTCATCCTCATCATCAGCATCGTCATCAGTATCATCAGCATCATCGTCATCAACATCAACATCAACATCAACATCATCATCATCATCATCATCATCATCATCATCATAATCATCATCAATATCGTCATCAGCATAGTCGTCATCATCATCATCAGCATCATCATCATACTCAGCTTCATCATAACCATCGTCAGCATCACCATCGTTGTCATCACCATCATCGTCATCAGTATCGTCATCATCATCATCATCATCGTCATCATCATCATCATCATCATCACAGTCAGCATTGTCATCATCGTCATTGTCATCATCGTCATCACCATCAGCATCATCATGATCAGGAACATCATCAGTATGATCAGCATCATCAGTAACAGCATCGTCATCATCTACAGCGTCATCATCATCACCACCACCACGACCACCTACATCGCCATCACCTCCATCACCACAACAACGTGCATTACCACAACAACCAACGCCACCACCAAAACCACCACCACCAACACCACCATCATCATCATCATCATCATCATCATCATCATCAGCATCAGCATCATCATCATCATCATCATCATCATCATCATCATCATCATCATCATCATCATCATCGGTATCATCTTCATCGTCGGGGACATCGTCATCGTCATCGTCATCATCATCAGCATCGTCATCAATATCATCAGCATTATCGTCATCAACATCATCATCATCATCATCATCATCATCAACATCAGCATCATCATCATAAACATCGTCGTCAGCATAGCCATCATCATCATACTCAGCTTCATCATAATCATCGTCAGCATCATCGTCATCATCACCATCATCGTCATCGGTATCGCCATCATAATCATCGTCATCATCATCACCGTCATCATTGTCATCATCGTCATTAGCATCATCGTCATCACCGGCAGCATCATCATGATCAGGAACAGCATCAGTATGCTCATCATCATCATCAGCATCAGTATCAGCATCGTCAGCATCTACAGCATCATCATCATCACCACCACTACCACGACCACCTACATCACCATCACCTCAATCACCACAACCACCTCCATTACCACCACAACCAACGCCACCACCAAAATCACCATCACCCCCATCATCATGATCAGCATCGTCATCATCATCATCATCTTCTTCATGATCATCATCATCATATTCAGCTTCATCATCATCATGACCACCATCGCCATCATCAGAACATTCGCGTCAGCATTCGCATCAACATCAGCGTCGCCATCATCAACATCAACCACACAATCATCACCATCGCAATCATCATCATCATCAGCATCATCATCATCATTACCGACAACGTCATCATAATCAGCATCATCTTCAACATCACTCATCATCAGCACAATCAGCATCATCTGTATCATCATCGGTAACATCCTTAGCAACATCATCATGATTAGCAACGGGATCCTCATCGTCATAACCACAACCATCATCATCATCATCATAAGCATGGTCCTCATCGTCAGCAGAAAGCATAATCGTCTCCGTTGCAACCATCAGCATCATCATGTCAATCATCATCAGCATCATGAACATCATCTGCATCATCATCATCAGCAGCATCATCAACATCTGCAGCATCGTTTTCGCTAGCATCATCAACATCATCAACATCAGCAGCATCGTCGGCGGAATCGTCATCACCGTAACCATCATGCATCGATAATCGGGGAATCGGGCGCATCGTTATCCTGATGACGGCGCTGCTCGGGGCTCTTGTCCTCCAGGCCACCCTCTTTCGCGCCTCACGCGCCGCGCGTTTCGTGTTGAAGCCATCGTGCCTCCGCCACCCGTGGAGGAGGACCACTCTCCAGCTCAGGGCGCGAGGCGCCAAGCGCAAGATTTGTCTTCGGGGGACCCCACTCCACCGTGTCCGTGGACCAGAGCGAGCAAAAGCATCGGAGCAGCGACAAAGAGGCACGCAGACGGACACGCCGACCAGCTCAAGGACTGGAGACGACAGGAGATAAGCGAGAAAGAGAGCCGGGGGAAAAAGGAATGAGGGGGGGCGAAGCGAGGAGCGGGAGGAACGAAAGAGAGAGAGAGAGAGAGAGAGAAAGAGAGAGAGAGAGAGAAAAAGAAGAGACAGAAAAGAGAGACAGGATACAAAACAGAGGGGAGAGTAGCAGAGAGGGAAAAGATCGGACAGCAGGGGAGAGATCAGCCGCCTGTCACACCAGCGCGGCTGCAGGCTCCGCCGCGCAGTATGCAGCTGGCTGCGCATTGCCCGCATCAGGTCCAAGTGTGTCTCGCTCGAAATTGGATGCGCGCAATGGTTTCGTAGCCGCCTTGCGAATGGCGCCAAACTGCGACTCGAGCCGAAACGTGTACGAAGTGGGTGCGCACGCTCTCGGATCCCACCAGCACTAAGGACCGACGCCCCCCCCCCTCCCAGCCAGAATCCGCTCAAGAATGGCCCAACAATCATCCGAGACACCATATTGAAATACTGGTCGAACCACGCCCACCCGTTCCCAAAACCAACAGCGGTATATCCGCAAGCGTGCCCCCTGGCATGTCGCGGAGCATGAAGAATGTTGCTAGTCCTTGGATGGCATTGTCACCATGTAAACCATGTTGATGGGGGTGTTCCTCGCTAGCTCCTTGAAGCCTTTTGCTCAGGCTCATCCTCGGGGAAAGTGATGTGGGGGATTTTGCCCTCCACGCCATGAGCGTGGTAAAAGTGTCCGTTAAGCTTAGGCTGACCCTACGGATGAGAGAGGGCCTGCCGAGAGGGCGCGCCCGGGGAGGGCGCGCGCTCGCGGCGGGCGGGGCGCTGCCTGTTCTTACCAACCAGAGCCAACACGCACAGCTACGAAAGTATCGCTGAGGGTGCCAAATGAGCCTGGGAGGCGGCCTAAAACGACTCCCCCCGCGGCCTACCGCGCTCCTCGCGCGCAGGCGGACGTTCCTGTTTTGGGGCAACGGCCCAAAATGTTTATAAAAAGGTGTCGGCGCTTGCGGCGCCCGGCAGTCTGGCCTCGGACTGGCTCGCAGCGCGCTAGACGCAGGTGCATCGCACCCTTGCCTCGCGGCGGCTCAACCGCCCCAAACGGGCGCAGCCGCAAAATGTGTGAACCCGAGGGGAAGCCCGGCGACATCGTCGCTGGCCTCCTCCTCGTTCTCTTCTCGCCACCCTCGCCAGCGGCCGCAAAGGCCCCAGCTGTCGTCGTCCTAGCCATCCGGGCTCCGCGTCCACCATGACCACCAGTCACGGGCACTGCCCCGCCAAGGGGTGGAAACATCCGCGACGCGCTGCCTCGCGGCGTCACGCCCACGCCAAATCTGGCGCCTTGGCGCCTCCGTGTCAGAGCGCCGCGGAGCGGCGCGAAAATCCCGGGCTGCTCTAGGAGGTAGCGTCGGCGCGCATCCATTAAAGGCTGCCCCCGAGCTCTGCGGGGCATCCAACTGCGCCGGGTTCTCGGCACGGCGCCTCCGAGACTCTTGTTGGTCACCAGGCGCCTGGAGGCTGGCCCTCTTCGTGCCTTTGCCATTGATCGCATCGTCCTTCCCCTTGCAAGCGCCATCATCTCCCGTTATTGCTGCCTTCGGGCGGCCCTCGGGCAGCGAACGAGGCCGCTTCGCGCTTCATGCAACAGGCCCCCGCCCAGGTGCGCCGCCGACATAGTCTGCTGGCGCGCCCGAGTACGCGGGCCGTGCCCTTGGCCGGGGGGGCCGGAGAAACTCGCCACAGGCCAGCAGTCCTCAACTTCCTCCTCCACGGCAGCTGCGAGGCTGGCGGGCGGCTCGATGGCTTTCGCGCCTGGGGCCGCTTCGCACCAGGCGGACCAAACGCAGCTGGGCATCGCCCGATGACGGTCGCCTGGGTTCGCGCAGCCCCAGTCGACAGGGTTCAATCTAAAGTATCCCTATTATTCCCTCACTCGCCTGCTTATACATGCTCATTGTTCCGGGTGAGCCACCGCATTCGGCCCTGTTGCTGGCGTCTTGGGGCGTGCGTTCTGGAACCTGATCCACCCTCGGGGCAGCCTGTTCGTCTTCGCGATAGCGCAAGGATTCTGCGGCGGAGGCAGGGCATGTGGGCGACCGCGCGAAGACCGCCATGACGTGGCTGCGGCATGCGGTCTTGTCCGGAAGAATATTTCCCAGGCGTTTGGCAATCGCGCTCTCGGTGGTACCGAACCATTTGTTGCGTTCATTTCGCAAGGCGCGACCAGCGTCTGTCCCAGTCCATCTCTTCGGCCCTAGGTCGCGGACATCGCCCAAGCGCGCCTTTCAGGGACAAAGTCCTTGTAATCGATGCGCGACTTGATCTGCTCAATATCGACAACACGGGCGCCGAAATGCATAATCTTCCGACACGTGAAGCACATCATCAGCGCCCCTCAAACGGGGACTCCACTAACGGGTACTTTGGCCAGTGACCCAGCGAACCCAACCCTTCCCGATGCGGGCAAAGCTGCAATGCAAGAAAAAGGCCCTAAAGTGGCAACTTTCGGCAACATTTCAAAGTGCCCGTTAGTAAGTACCCGTTGCGGTGCCGTTGACATCAGCGCCCCGCCTCGACTCCGGCGGTCATTGCAGCGCAGAAGAGATCCGCCGCCCCACAAGTTAGGAGCGCATAGCGCATTCTTCTTGTCTTTGGCGGCGAGCTCGTCGCCATCGCCCCCGCTGGGCAAGCGACTGGTCTCATAGCACCGTTCCGCAAAAAGTCAATGCAGGCCGCGCGGGGCCGCGGGTAGGCCAGCAGGGCCGCGCGCCGTCGATCATAGACTGACGCCCACGACACCTTTGCACGCTGAATGCCCGACACTGCAAGCCGCGTGACCTGAGGGGCGTCAGTACACTTGGGGCGAAAGGTAGCTGGCAGGGCGCCGTCGCGCAGTCCAGAAGCCCCGCTTCTCAAAGAGACGGGGCTGGAAGATTACCGCAAACATGTCGGACAGCAGCTGCGGACAATCGAGCCCGAAAACAACGGCGTCCAAGTCCTGGCCGGCGATGACCGATCTCGCCCATCCACCAAGTCTGAACCACCTTGGTGGCTCTCCGTCTACTTCGCCGCTCTCGCCAATCTGCGTGTTCTCAACAATTGTCTTCGCCCCGAAAGAGCTCGCGTCTCCACCGCCCACCGCGGGGTCGTCGAATGCTGCGCGTGACCCAGCATCGGTCGGTGAAGACGGGTTAAGAACCAATGCTGGTGGAGTCTCTGGAGATCGATCTTCGGCGCCCCGAGAGAGCCGGTCATGGGCCGCTTCGCGGCAGCGTCATCCGAGGGGGCGACGATCGCCTGGCGGGAGGCTCTCGCTGCAGCTTCGCACCGAAATCATATGCTTTTCGGGTCGACAACCCGAACTGGATGACCCTTGCAGGCGCGAAGCATTACTGGTACTCTCGCCAACGGCGGCAATATTCGATCTGCCTCAACGGCATCATCGTCCTCCATCGGAGCGCGCCCGACGCTATCCCCCCAGTCGTCGGGCTCGCAGGTTGGACCAGCGCCCTCGCGCGCCATTTCCGCGCCGAGAACCTGGGCCGATTAGGGGGGCAATTGGGCGAGGGCGCGCATGAAGCGCAACCGTGCGCTGTCGCGCCCTCCGCCCCTCAGCATTTCGACGATGGCGCGCTCCTCCATCCACCCCCCTGAGATTCGAACGAGGGCCGCGCCGCGCATCGCCAAGTTGGCGATGAGCGAGCCCAGGCGCCCAGATCCTCCCGCGCCGATTCCCGAGCAAGGCAGCGAGGTTCGACTGCGCCAAAACAAGCGCGTGGGGGGCGTCGAGCTTACCCGGCGTCATCTGCGGGCAATCGCCGAATAAACTCGAGTAGTGGATATGCAACCCATCTTCGCGCCCATTCAAGGGCTTTCTTCTCGTGCCCCCTGCCTCTCTTCTCGCGCCCCTCAAAGGGCCCTGGGCCAGCGTCGCGCAACTCTTCCAGCCTCCGCGTCAGCTCGATGGGGGCGGCGCATAGTGTCGCGTCATCCCAGTCACCGACGAGCGGCGCGCCGCGCTCGTCCTTCTGGGAGTGCTCGCGCCCAGTGCGTGCGGTGTCCCGGACCTGCGTCTTCCTCTGCTGGTAATCGTCGATCGAGATCTGCGCGCTCTTAGGAGACGTTGGCACTCGACTAAAACAAAATACTTTGACGCAAAAGCCCGAGGAAGCCCGTCAGACAGCACATCCAGCGGAATCAGCTCGGGGGTGCGCCCGCGGGTGGCAATCCCCACCAGCTCGTCATCCTCCATATCCTTTGTTTTGCTCGACTCGACCTGCTCTTCTGTCTCGCCAAACTCACCCTCCTCTGTCACTTCCTCTTCAGCAACGCCGTGCCCTGTAGCCTGCGCTCGGGGCACTCCCCGAATGTCGAATGAGGGGGGGTCTTCCATATCAGGCGCGTCCAGGTCGACGCCATCTGGCTGTTTCCTGTGTGTTCGCTGTCCTTGTCCAGGCCTTGCACCCTCAATGGGCCCCTGGCCTGGAGCTCGTGGGGCAGCTTCTGAAGGCAAGGGAACGGGCGGGGAGGCAGCGGCGTAGACAGGACCCCCCCCTCCCGCATCAGCTGCGGAGGACAGCCCTGGCTCATTGGCAAGGCGTTCTGAGCCCACTTCCATGTCAGCCGAAGGGGGTCTAGCCTCCGCCGTCTGAGGGCGGTCTGGGTCGACTGACATATCCGACGGGCTGTCGGTCTCTTCAGGCAACTCATGCGCGCGCTCACTAATCTCGGCCTGGTACCACCACTCGAATAATATGTTATCGTGGGCCAGAATCTCCGAGGGAGCCCCATGCCTGCGCGCGCTGGCCCGGTGCGAATATGCTCGCTGGCGGGAACAGCACCAGCCAATATGCAACGCAGCGTTCGGGGCGTCGCAATAGTCGCACGGAGTCACAGGCCGCAGGTGCGCTGGCTTCTTCTTCGCACCCTGCTTCACCTCCTTGAACATAGTACAACAGCACCCAAACCGAAGGCAGATGTAGACTTGCTCCATGCGCGCCGCTTTCTCCGTGAGCTCGATTTGGCGTTCCTTGGTCAACGGCCTTGTACCATCCATCGGGAGCGGCTGATGGAAGGGCGCTCCACCCCTAGGATCAGACGGCTGGTTCGCCAGAGGAGCAGTCGGGTGCATTTTCCTCGACGGGAAGCGAACAATCGTGCACGCAAAATAAGCCTTGCTAAACAAGGTCACCCCGAAGCAACCCCAGTTCGAACGCCGGCGACTCCTCGGTGGCAGGAGCTTGCGATGGGCCATCGTCTGTGCATGGGCGTTGCCGGGATCGTCCTCGACGAAATCCATGATGGCAGAACGGTTGTCCATCTTTCCATTGTTAAGGTTATGCGTATTGCTGTTTGCTGTTCCTTCTCTACTTGTTGCTGCTGACTGTTCCTTGTTGACGGACCGCGCGGGGGGTGAGGCCCAAAACGGGCCTTTTTACCACGCCCAATCCGTATGTTCTGAATTGCTGGGGTGGGTGAAAATTCACACCCTTCACGTAAATCGGCGGGGTCAGGGTCCAAGAACACTGAGGGGTTGCCACATTTTTGAAATTCGCTGACACCCTCACGCAAATCGGCGGGGTCATGGTCCAAGAACACACGGGATTTGCAACATGTGTAAAATGTGCTGTCACCCCTCACGCAAATCGGCGGGGTCAGGGTCCA